TTCTACTACTTATATATATATATATATATATATATATACACACATATATATATATACATATATACTCTATCAAAATACGCGATAGATTTATTAAACGCCAAATGTACGATATACGATATATATATATATATATACGTATGAAACGCCACATTCTAGCGGCAAAAATTGAATAATGAAGATTTAATACGATATTCAAATAATTTGTAATGTAAAAACAGCTATTTTACAATGTGATAGTATAATATACATTTTTTGTAAACTATATTAAAAAAAGTTTAAATTTTTCACGAACTGCGAAAGTCACATGGTATGGTCCATGATACTTTTATAATTAAAACTTCAGTTATTATTTTCTCTTTTCTTCTGATTTTTTTCTCTCTTACATTGCAATGCAATATACGTGAGACAAGTCTTTCAGATGATATTGTGACGGCTTCAATAATCAATTATAGAAACCTAAACAATCAACTTTAAGTTCGAATTTCGAATAAACGCAAGAACACGAAGAAGTAAAACTCTGAGGCTGTTAATAGAAAAAATGCAACTATGTGTTATGTTTCACATTATTTAGTTCTCAGTTTCTAAGCAGATTTTGATCATACTTTTGTAAATAGTGTAACATTATTACTCCGTTTATAAAATATTTATATAATACACCTTATAATGATTATATAATAAAAGAGGAAAAAATAATGATTAAATGCTAGTTCTATACAGTGATAAATGACAAAATATAAAGATAATAAAAATTTATATATTTTATACTTCTCAAACATTGATAAAGAAATGTGATTTGCATTGTAATTAAACTGGACGAATCGGGAAATTCGCTTCTCCATGTGACTTGTACTACTTATTACAGGTCAAATTTGTTTATCCTAACGTCATTTTTAATAAATATTAAGCTATGAAAGACTTATTTTTTCTAAAATCATATCGGATCGTTATATAGATTCTATATTATTTTTTTCTTTTTTTATTTGTATTTGATATTGAAAGAATCACGAAAGACGGTGATATCTTTAAGTAATTGAGATTATTATCTCAAATTAAAAACTTAATTATCGATATTTTCTATATTTTTAATATTAGAGGCTTATCGTATAATCTATATTATGTTGAACAAATATTAACAAAAATTACAAAAGTATTTATCCATATATATATATATATATATATGATATGGAAAACATTTTCTACAATTTTTTTTATAATATTAATTTCTTCCTATGGAATATTTGCTTTCGATTATTACGGCAGATAAACTGTTTACTTCTTTGATACCGCTAAATATTTCTTAAAAATGTTCATGTAATTTTAAATATATGCTGCTATCAAGCAGGTTGTGAAAAGACTGATTGTCTTTTCTATAGATTTCACATATATTCTTTATAATATAATGTAATCATAAAATGTTCTGCGGTTTATTTTCGAGTATTTTCAAAACTCGCAGTCATATTTGTTATGCTTAGAAATAAAATATCATAAGCGTGATATAAAAATGTAAAAAAAAATTGACAAAAAAAAAAAAAGATTTGTAACTTTGCAGCTGACAAACACAGTTTTAAAACTGTTACATGTTAATATTTACAGTTTATTGATACGTAAAAACGATAGAAATATTTGTATAGGGATATACATATTATAAGATCCAATTATTAAGCCGTTTATTATTCAATTATATGTGCTTCAATGTATCACCGTCATGAACGAATTTTCTGAATCATTGAAATGTTTTTATGTCATGGTTAGTACAGTTAGTACAGTTAATTCTAATTATATGTATCGCAACGAAATTGTAACATGAAGATTTTATTACTCTTCAGTACGTCTTTCCAAACAGAAGAAGTACAAGTAATAAGATTTCGTTACGTTAATGTCTTAAATTCTAAGTACATTTACGTTGCATACATGTACATAGTATGTATACACGATTATGACAGCATCCGATTATTCATATTCAATTTCATTTATCATTATCAATTAAATTAAGCTCATTTTGTATATATCTCAATGTAATTTTCAGCGATTTCATTAAATTTACATCATTTTAATTATACAATGTTTATTTTTTCTGCGAAATTACAATATTTTTCACAATAAAAATAAATTAAAATAAGTTTTATAACATTTGTAATTTTTTATCTATCCAAAGACATTATATGCTTGATATAGATCTCCTGTATAAATTGAGTTGTCACGTATAATTTGATTGGTAGAAAAAAATAATGATACTGAAACTTATTAGACTTAATACAGAAATGAAAATAAGAGAAATGTTCTGTTTGTATTATATTATCAGAATAATAAGGTTTTTACCCAAATAATACAATATAATAGAATTATTATTTCTTCCATCTTTAATTTTTACTTTCAACTTTTTACTTTCACTTTTTCAATGATTAAACTTTAAACTGTAAATCTATATATAAGTCGCATAGTTCTACTTCAGGAGTATGAGTATTTACGCAATGAAATGGAGATAGTAACGTTGTAACGTGTTTTATGGAACAATACGAGAAATTTCCTTCTTTGTTTATTAATATTATATGATTTTTTTTATATATTACATATAAATGTGATATTTTTTGCCAATACGCGTACATATTTCTAACCTTCTTAATGTTAGTGAGTTTATTGAAATTAACCAATCAAACCTGTAATTCTTTCAAAGGACTTTTTATCAGCTATAAATATATATACGATCCGTGACGAACATTATGTTTAATCTAATTATCATATTATTTAACAGAAAATAATTAAATACAATAAATTGGTTTATGTTATAATTTTAATCATGGTTTCATTAACAAATAAAGAGAATCAAAAATCACATGTATTAATACCGGTTCTTCTTAGTGTTTGTGCAATTCCAATTTCTATGTTATTTTGGCTGATAAATGTAATTTATTCAGTTTTTTATTCGGATACTAAAAATCATTTAGAAGGTATTTTATAAAATTCATCATGATTTAAGATTTTTTTATTTTTTATCTTTGTATAAATACTTTGTTTTGAAAAATATAACCCTTTCTTCAGAGTATCTGGTTATTTCACCATGGAGATGGTTAATTGCAGTCTTGTTTCCAATTTTCATGGCATTTTGGGGTTGGAAAAAAAAAAGCTTGAACATTAGTGGTGCTATTTCAGGTAAGTAAATATTTCTTGAATATTAGACTGCAAAAGAAATATATATATTCTCAAATAATGTATTGTGTTTTTAAATCATTAGGTTATCATTTAATTGTTCATTTTTCTGAAAATATTGTTTATTATTACTGAATAAAATATATAAAATTAAAAAAAATTGCAATATAATAAATAATATCACTATATTATTTAAAAAAAATTTATAATTATATTTTTTAAATGCTATTTAATAAATTTTCATATATTTTATAATTATGAAATATTTTATTTCAGGATTATTTGTGGGCTTCATTCTGACACTTACTAGTTTTGCCCATGTAGCTTGTCTTTTTTCATTTTTTATTACTTCTACTAAAGCAACTAAGTTTCGCTCCCATGAAAAAAAGAAGCTTGAAGCGCATTTTGAAGAAAATTCACAAAGAAGTTGGGTTCATGTGTTATGCAATGGTGGCATGGCAACACAATTGGCACTTTTATATTTATTAGATGTAGGATGTCAGGAACGACCAATTGATTTTGACAAATATTATAGAAGTTCTTGGTTGTCAATAGGAATTTTAGGTATATATATCGAAAAATAAAGAATCTTTAAAATATATTTATAATTTCTAAATATTATAATTTATTAGGAGCCATAGCATGTTCTAATGGAGATACTTGGGCTTCAGAAATTGGATCAGTTATTGCTAGTAAAGATCCTTTTCTTATTACTACTCTTAAAAGAGTTCCAAGAGGTAAAAATATTAAAATCTGATTAAAAAATTTAAAAAAGGATATATAACAGATGAATGGTGAATGTTAAGTAATTTAATGTGAAAATAGTAGTTTCTAAATGTTATTGTATAAAATTGTATTATTTTATCTTTCAAAAATATATTCATAATTATCAAATTATTTTAATAAATAATTGTCTATATTTATCTATAGGTACAAATGGTGGTATTTCCTGGGCAGGTCTGTTCATGTCTTTTCTTGGTGGTATAATAGTAGGTTTATCTTATTATTTAACAGTATTGATAACTGTTGATACAGTTGTACTACAATTAGCAACATCACAATGGCCTGTTATTATTATTGGAGGAATTGGAGGTTTTATTGGTAGTGTAATAGATTCTGTTTTAGGAGCAACATTACAATATTCTGGTGAGTAATAATCAATACTTTTACAATTAATATTACTATTTATATTTATTTATAATAAAATTTATTTTATTTTCAGGAATAAATGAAAAAGGATTTTTAGTAGAACATCCTGGAAAAGGTGTAAAACATATTAGTGGTAGACAAATTTTGGACAACCATAGCGTGAATCTTTTTTCTACAGTCATTATTGGACTTTCATTACCTGGAATAGCAAAATTAATCTTATAATAGATACTTAACTAAGTTTTAATATATATATATATATATATATATAATGATAATATTGTTAAATATCAGGGTACTTTTTTATTTAAAATTTTAATTTGTAATTTTTAATAGTAATAAATTATGTATTTACATATATAATGTTTATAGTTTTAACTTTAAATACTGTGCTTTTGTAATAAAATATTTATGATTTAGATGTGATTAGAAAAAAAATATTACATAAAAAGTAATACAAAATATATTATTTAAGTCTAAAATTTTTCGTAATAATATAAATATTATTATTAAAAATAATAAAAGTAAATTAATTTTTTAAAATTATTTTGAAATTTTTTTTAGTTTTTTTTCTAAAATGTTTTTAAACTGTTTTGAAAATTTCTCGAATAAACTTTATATAAAGAGAATAAAAATATTAACTTTATTATAAATTTAAATTTTAAATTTGTACATTTATTTGTACAATTCTCAATTATGATTACATAAATAGCAAATATTCATAGCATATTCATGGAATATTTTTTACAAAAACTTTATTTATATAAAAATTACATCATGAAATTTGATATGATTTGATAAATAAAAATTATATTATATATTTACAATATCAAATTGTTGAAATTAAACTTGTAACATTCCAAACGAAACTTGCTTTATTTATACTAAATTTAAAATTATTTCTAGATCTAAAATTAAAAATGTATTTAAAACACATTAAATTAATTGTAATATATACAATAATCTAATTCTGAATTTATTTAAAATTTTAATAGAATATGAAGAAAAATATAATAGTTTTTTATATGCTAAATGTCAATTTAAATTTTGTTTGCAGTATCGGAAGAAGAATAGATAATTAAAGCTTAGGAAATCAGCGCCATCTCTAGAGTGGTGCTGATGAAACAAATATAGTGATAAAATAAAACTTAACTACTATTGCCATCTTTCGGATGACAAGAATAACATATTTTCAAAAGAATCCAAAAGATGATTTTAAAAATCAATTCTTAATCTATCTCTATTTTTTTCTTTATTATATGGTCTTGTTTATTGTTCTAAAAAATTTATGTTTTTAAGAAATGCTATCAATATCTGATTAATTTTATCGTTTTCTTTACCTAACCTATTGATTAAAAATTTTAAGAGAATCTATTCAATTTAATTTTTATAAATAATTTTTTTATTTTTTATTTGTAATTTTATATGAAATTTAGTTTGAATTTTAATGAAACCGATTCGGTAATGTTGAGAATGAAATTGAAATATTAAACTTAATATGGAATAAACATTGCATTAATTGTTAGGTTCTATACCTCATCTATAAAAAGATTAATACAAATGTAATATATATTTTATATGTATCTATAATATATATCTTACTTTATTTTTCTTATAATATGTGTAATGTACAAATAAATGAATTGAAATATATCGAAGCGTTTTTGATTTTAGACTTTTTATATAATTGTTTATCTACGATTTTAATTTTAGTTATCTAGATGATCAGACAATGTTTATTTATTTTATGACTTAATTAAAATATTAATCAGAATTTAGAAATAAAAATATTATATAATGAAGCTTTTGAAAATGAAAATATTTAAATCGATAGCAATATTTCAATAATATTTGAATAATATCTTTAATATTAAATATTTTATATTAATTTTATAGAAATTTATTTATATAAATTTAAAAAATTAAATAAATTATAAATTTTTGTATTTTAATTTAACAAATTTAAAAAATAATCTATGTTTCTTCAATAAATCTTAATTTTATAAAATCATAATTATTATTATTGATATTAACATATAAAATCTTTATATACAAATATAATTATAATATTTTTAATGAGAAAAATGTTTTAGAATCCAAAAAATATCTTTTTAAAAATTATACTTATAATAATGAATTTTTATGATTTTTATGATTTAATTAAAATATTCAAACAAGTAATATTCAATAAATAGTTTTCTATTTTCTTAAATTAACTTTGAGATCCAAAAAATAGTACTGTTAAAATTTTCCAAAATATTATTTGACATTTTTATAATTAAAATTTCCTTCTGTCACCTTATCTTTTATATTAATTCTAAATATTTTTTTTAGAATCACAATGTTCATCATCAAAATAGTCTTTTCTTCATTAAAATCTTATTCCTCGTGAAAACACACCTTTTAATTTTCAACGAATCATCGTGATAATATCTTCATGAAATATCTCCGCAGAATTATACTCTGATCTTGAAACCGCCTTTGATCTTGAAACCTTCTTTGTCTTTGATCTTCGCTCAATGGTTTTGCTTTCCTGGTATAAATAGTTTGAAACTCTTCTTGTCAACAATCAGTATTATCAACACTACATCTGTTCTTTATCGGATACATCGATCGACTTAATAAGCATCCTGGCGTAATTATCGTGAGTTTTGAAAACAGGAATAGAAGCGACCAGTTGCATGGTCAGTTGATTATTGTCCACGACTCGTTTTTTGTCCAGCACTTCCTGCATGGACGATTGATAGTCACACCGTTTCTTCTCCCGGCATCGGACCTGCGGTCGATCGGATAAACTGAAACAGTCAACGTCCCATAATGGACTTGACATGGGCACGTCACTGGCACGACACGGACAACTCTTTCCCTTTCTACACTCTACGCCATCATGTATATTAGTTATATAGATGTCGCTCGTGTTATTTTCAAGCTTATGTACAGCAGGAGATTTTTGTATTAGTAATTTAGAATCCATTTGTATATTATCCGACATGATTCGCACAAACATTTTTCTTTGTCTTCAACTGAAAATAATATAAAATCATATTATATGTATCTAAAAGTGTAAATGTGTAGCATTAATCATATCAGATAGTATAAACGAATCCTTGTCGTGCATTGAGGATTCGATTGTGGTCCGTATCGTACCATTGACCAATCGTGCAATTTTTTTCTTTTTTTATATTTAAAAATTTTTTTATTTTTTCATTTTTTTATTGTTGCACTATTTTGTTGCATGACTGTGATTCTTAATGAAACATAAATAATGAAGTATTTGGATTATATTAAAAGGAGTTGAAAAAAGAAATATAGGTAAGTTGATTTTTTGTAATAAAAGTTTATCCCTTTTCAAGTTAGTTAATTTAGTTAGTTTTTTGATTAAGTATTCTAATTTATGATAAAAAAAATCATAATTAGAATTATATATTATATTCAATCAAATAATATTCAAAAAATAATAATAAAAAATTAATTTTAAAATTGTTTAAAAAGATAAAAAAATAAAATCATGTTAACAAGTTTTATTAGAAAGTGTAGAATTTTTTTAAAAAAGCGTGCATGTTACAATTGCAAACACAATTGCAAATAACTTAGAAAAGCTTGATTTATTTTCAAATAAATATGATTGATAATAATAATGTTCCGTCAATTTTTGTGATGGTTAGTAATAAATAAAGTAATAAATAATGAAAGTATTAATTGTTCATAGAATATAAAATTTGAATATGAAATTAAGTATCTCAAACATAATGAAATTACATAATGAAAGTATATGTATAAGTTTATGATCATTTCAATCATGATCATATTGTTATTTGCGACCAAAATATAAAATCATGCCATCATTTATAATGTCTTATATAATATATAGATTTTTCTTGGATAAGGACGAATAATGATGAATACTTATGATCATATTTTCAAAATATTTAAACCATTGGCTATATACAAAGCAATTTTTACGATTTATTAAGCGATTTATCACCATTTTTTCGTAGATTGCAAAGTTCGAGTGTTTTCACTAGAGATTCCTTCGAGAATTTTTTATACAAATTTTTCTCAAGATAAATGGAATTCTAGATTTTAAAAATGTATTAAATTTTATTTTTAAATTAATTAAAATGAAAATGTAAGTACTATTTCATTCTTTTGAAATCTTAAAAAAATCATCGAAGAATTCTCTATGATTTAAAACATTAATAAATTTAATAATTTTTTAACAAGATTCTAATAAAATCTGTATAAATCTTAACAATATTATTTCTCCAATAACTATAAGCATATTTTACATGATTATTCATAATATCTCTAATTCTAAGAACGAGAAAACAAAAATAAAATTTGAATAATTAAAAAATTGTTATATATATATAAATATATATATCTTTTGCTTTTTAAAATTTAAAATTTTTTCTATTCTTCACTTTTTTTAATATTTTAAAATACATTCACAATGTAAAAATTCTAAACAATTTTTGTCATTGTTTTGTCAAGATCTGAATCAATTTGACTTTCTCATATTGACAATTCTCATATTTAATTTTAGCGTTAAAAAAGAGAAGAGGAAAATGAACAATTTTAGCAATTTTTATAGCGTGAACAATTACGAATGAAGATTGCACAAAAATGAAAGAAAACAATACAGATGTAGAAAAAAAAAGGATAGAAACACGGATGATGGTATTTCATTCAAAGCGTTTTCATTTTCACAAAATTTATGATTGTTCTATGTCTTGTGAATTTGCCGTACCGAGACGGTGGTAGCTGTACAAGAATTGGCTCGATTCCGCAAGAAGGCTGAGCCCTCCCATTTTCTCTTAAATTGTGCTATCACCTAAACAAAAGTAACGTTCATTAGTGAACATTTTCTTTATTTCACGTAATTAGAAATAATCGTTTACTTACCTCACCGTTACAGAAACAGAATAAAATGGCCACACAGAGACCCTGTGGAAAAAACATCAATCAAAAATTTAAAAATTTATAAATAATATTTAATGTAATAATTATTTATTTCAAAATATTTATGAAAGATTTATGAATTAACTTTAATATTTAATTTGATATCCAAAAAAAATTAAGAATTGATTATGAAATATAAGAAAATGGTTAAATGTAGTTTCTATTGGAAAATATGTGAAGTCATTTTGTACCTGGAAAGAAGCTGTTATAGCGGAAAGAACTTCATAGAAATGCTCCCAAGGGTGATTTTTCGGTGGCCTGAAGGGGATGACAAGATAATGTAAACCCAAAAGAGGTACAAGAAGTAATGTTGCCCTAATGAAATGAAAAATTGTTATTTTGTTTAATTAATCTAAAGCAAAATTACAAGTAAAATTAAAAAAAACATTTAGATATCAACTAATAGATATTAATTACCGAAATGCCTGACGCATAGATCTCGAAGGTTGTGTACCAATGCTAGGACCAGCTCTCAGCTTCATTAATAAAACTCGAACAATGTTGAAGAGGAAAAGCACATTTAATAAGGTGGAAACACATACTGGATAAACCAGTACGTTCATATAATTACCCTCATTGATCCAACATCTGAGATCATCATCAATGAATTAATATAAGTAATTTTTAAATTATATGATGTTATATAAATAAATATATATGATTCTGTAGTAGTAGTAATAATGTTTTAATATATAAAATTCTAGAAAATTCCAGTTTTTTTTCTCTTAAAATTTTAAATTATCAATATTGTACTTACTGTTCAGTGTCCGTAAGATCATTACTAGTCACTCTTAAACAGGCATAAATCGTGACGATGATTGCAGGTACGGGCCAACCAAGAATCATCAACCATTTTACTAATTTCTGTTCGCTTGTGAACGCACTAACAAGCAGAGTGTGTAGATAAAAACCTTCGCACAACATCCATGCGTAATTAGTAAGAAGAAAGTAATGAAGGATAATATGCAACAGCCGACATGTTATCTGAAAGTTGTATAATCATTTTCTTAATTCCTATTTATTTATTATAATATTTTCTAAAATAGATCAATTTTAATAATAGTATTATATACAATAAAATTTAATTCATAAAATTATATATAAAAAATGAATCAAGAAATAATAATTTAAATGATGATGTTTGTTTTAAAAAATTTTGTTTTAAAAAAACAAAAATAGAAAAACATAGATAAAAAAATAAAATTAAAAAAAAGTTGTTTTTATCATTGACATATATATTTCACTATAAATAAGCAAATTTATGGTATGTTAAAAAAAAAAATAGAAGAATATAAAAAAAATAAAGATGTATAAGATAATGTTTGTTTCTTGTACTATTTAATTTCAGAATTTGCAAAGGTGTTATTATTCGAACGATATACGATGTGACTAAATTTTCGTTCGTTCGAGTTACTGGGTCGAGTGTTAAGCAAAGAGTTAAGATGTTCATACATACCCCATTGTTCAACAGTAAATCCGTATTCGCTACGATGCATCTATACCACACCAGCCATAGAGCATTATTTACAGCAAAAGAGGCGAACAGGTTCATATGAAGAGTGATCCTTGCACACCTCAGGGAGCTATTTCGAAGAAATTCATGGGAAGAGTAATAAAAAATCAGAAAATATATCCTCTCATATAAAATTTCTTTTCTATTCTAAAAACTTTTAATTAATTGTAAGATCTTTTATCGTTGGAAATATTTTTTAGAAATATTTTTCTAAAAAAAAAAATAACATGAATTCTTTTAAAAAGACAATTTAATCTTTACAAATTTTAATCTTTCCTTTTCTTCAATATTAAACTTTATTTTATATTATTTCTTTTTTTCAATTTGAATATTCTATTAAATTTTTTTCATTCAATTGTATAACAGTAATTCGAATATTTCAAGAAATTAATATTCCAAGAAATTAATAAAAATTCTATAAATAGTAAATTGAAATCGAAACGTATTAGAAAAAACAACGATATTAATTTCCAACATTTCATTCATAATAATAATAATTTCATGCATTTTAATTTATATTTTATATATCGACAAATTTATAATATATAAATTTGGAAAAGCAAAATTCTCCGTTTGTTTACGGATATAAACAATGCTATGCGTAAATTTGCATGGAATGTTTTAAAGTTTCTCGATACGAAGAAATAATTGATTTTGATATAACGAATTTATTTTAACAAAAAAAGGAAAAAATACGAGAAGTTAGAATAAAAAGGAAAAGAAAAGAAATATAATAATGTGAGGAGAAGATAAATTCGTATTCATTATTAACTCACCGGAAATATGTTAGAATACCTAATGAAAGTAATAATGCTATCAATGATATTGCATATCCAGCCTCGTAAAGTCCATTAATTCCTTGTTGCCACTGAAATGGGAATTAATATATCATATAGAAGCTATAAAATATTTTTTATATTATTGATCATATTATTATTATATAAAAAAGATTACGAAATTCGTACATTATCGAGATGATGAAACTCCCAAATATTTTGTTTTCTTCATATAAAGCAAGCATTAAGAGAATTGTAGTATAATATCTTGAAACAAATACGTATAAGAAAATCGTAGATGTAGAAAGTAGAGCATAGAAACAGGAAAGAGGAAAAAATACATAAAACAGTCAAAACAGAAATATAAATAATGATATATCTCCAACGAAAATATAGGCAAAGATAAAATACAATCTCTTGAGAAAGATTTAAAAATGTGTATTTTCTGAAGATCAATATATTTAAATAAAATTTAGTATCGTGAAATTTCATTTTTCAAAAAAGATTAATTTTTATTCTATCATTAGAGATATGATATTTCTGCAATGAAAATTAAGAAAGAATAAGTATATACTTAAAAAATATATCATATATATTATATTATTCGTTATTGATACAATTTGTTAGGATTCAATTAATTAGAATATAAAGAAATATAAAGGTTTAATTATTGGAATATTAGAAGTCTTTGGGCGAACAGGAAGTTACATAGCAGTTACACCCGACAGTTAAGTGAACTTCATAAACTTCTACAGCGTCTAATTGCATTTATTGGCCCTTTGTCCCGTGAAAATTGAATTGGTCCCGCCATTAAGCACGACAGCTGTTCATTCGATATCCGGTGACTTGCCCGCGAATTTTGAAATTCCTTATCAAATATATATATAAATTTCTATTAAATTTCTATTAATATTCCATTCATAATGATAGAAATGTTCATTTTAATAAAAATTTTTAATCATATTAAATTAATTCTAAAATATATTATTTTTCAGATAGAAAAAGATTAAGATTGGCTATTTTCCAAAAACACTTCAATATATTTATCCACTTTCATAAAGAATAATGAAAACTTTAACCAAAACTCTTCAAGAATCTCTTAAAATCGTTTTCATACGCTTACAACAATAGAAAGTAATGGCACCATCGGGAAATTCGATGAACTCGTGAATCCCACAGGATTTCTAGGAGAAAACGAAAGAAGGTAAGCTCGAGTATAAACTATCCTAATAAAACGATTCTCATGGATATTCGCTTATAGGAATGATTCGTTTTATTAGTTTTGACAGTCATTTCGTTTTTTTTTTTTTTATTCAACATTTCGAAGAAATTTTCGAGAAATTCATCGAGATAGAAAATTATTCCTAGTTATTCGTATCTCGGTCTGTCTTATCTTTTGCATAGTTTCTGCACAATGAAACGAATATCTTTCTCATTATATCTTTTGAATTCTTTGCTATCACGATCGTGCCTTCGGCAAAAGATATAATCCATGCAAAGATTGTGCTATGAATTTTATGCTATTATACATGCTCAAAAGTATTATAGGAATAATTAATGATTAGAGTGACTTTATAACATTAAAATTATCAGTGTATGTAATATATAGAACATTAAAATATAAATTCGTCCCATAATAAAACTCAGATAAAAACAAGGATAGAAAATAATAATTTTTTAGGAAAAAAAAATTGAAATATGAAAATAACTAAACAAAATAAAGGAAGAGATGGATGGAATTTTTAGAAAATTTTGTTAAAACAATATTCCAAATTGAACTATATTTCTTCTTTTATTCGTATTTATAACGTTTGATATATTGCTATTTTTCATCGTAAATTTCGTAATTTGTGTCGAATATTAAAATTCTTCCCGAAAATAATACTTCGGGAGAAAAAATGAAGATAAAGAGAATGAATTTTTTAAATTCTTTATCTATTAATACTCGATCTCGAGCGATAAAAATTCTAGATTTATTCGATTAAACTAGAGACCATTCTTTGAGGAATGTTTTATTTTTAGAAGATGAATGGTTATATTGAATACTTGAAGAAGTTTTTGTGAAGAAGGAAAAATATAAATATTAGTAAAATTAACTTTCTATGATTATTTTAAGAAAAAGTGGATCGTCTAATCATAAATAGAATATTCTTTTGAACTCTGTTGATAAATTATCTTCGAATATATTGAATGTTCGTTAAATTTTAAATATGAGATAATTATCGATATAAATTGATTGTATGCAATATAATTTATAAAATAATATTTAATTATATCTTAATTGTATCTTATTTAAAAGAATATTGACGTTTCTAGATAATTATATTTTTCGGCATCAATTGATCTCAATTGTCATTTATGGATAAATAATATTTTGAAAAAAAAATACAATAAAAAATAATCCCTCGATTAATTAAATAAATAACTTATCGAGCATTTCATCTTCAGATTTAATCATCTCAGAACTTTTCCATTATATTTCCGTCATTTTCAACATCAGATGTTTTTTTTTTTTTTTTTTTTATCAAGAACAAAGTTCCTGGATAAAACGAGTTTATGAAAGAACTTTTTATTTTGATTTTTCTTTCAAGTAATTTTCTTCTAAATAGAAAAATGAAGACAAGAGAAGAATCTCCACGATTTCATATTTCCATCTTCACATTTTCACATACTTATCACATACTTATCTTCATCCAACAAATAAGCTTCTATTTTGTCTCTGTATATCGGTTTAGTTTTATCATTCGTTTTTCCTTTATTACACATTATCATATATGTATACTTCATTCGTCAAGTTGGCACGTTTTTTCTTCAACCTTTCATCCCTTTTGATCCTCGATCTTATTCTCTCATTCAAATCACATCGCTCATCATGAGTATAATCCTCTATTCTTGGGGCTGTCGTTCAAAGAATTTCGCTCGAGAGGAGATTTCATTCAGGATTGCAACGTGATGGCATTTATTACTATCTCTTTATTAACATTTCAATATTCAACATATTTCTTTGAGAAATTTTTTTAAAAATTTTATTCAGCTAATTTTTATCGAGAGTTTTTTCATCAATTTCCTTATTTAACTTTTATTTAAGTTTTTTACTTTTTTTTTTTCCTTTAATACTCTAATTTTTATCTATTTTTAAAATCTTTTCTTAAATTCTATACTCGTTTCGTTTTTTATTTATAGTTTCTTTTTTAATTGTCTTAATTATTTATTTTATTTTGGGAATGTTTCAATAATATTCGCTAATTCTTTATTTTTAAAAATTTTTTTTTTATATATTTTATATATTGATTTTCAAATAATATTATATAATTAATTAAAAAACATAAATATTTTTGTTAATTTACTTACACTGAGGTCTTTTAAATTGATACAAGTCGTGTAGTTGCTCCAGATTTGACGAGATTCTGGATGTCGAAACCAAGTGCCGTTTAATTCACAATATTTATGTGCTTTCACTGAAACAAAAATATTTTTGCATGCTTTAAACATATTTTAAATAAAGATATTTTTATCAATGTTATCTTTTAATAAAATAAAATTATATTATATAATATTCTTCATTTATTATTTCTTTTTTTAAATATAAGAAAAGAATTTTAATACAATATCTCTAAAGAATTTTTATATACGATCAAAAAAAATCAGATTGTGTCTTTCTGTGATTTATTACGATAAACATAAGAATTCAACTAGATCAATAATGTGAGAAAGTGATAAGAGATAAGCAGTAAATAAGTAAGAAAATAATCTTATCATAAATAAAAATATTAGAAATAATTATTCTATTAATAAATTATATATTATATTATAATTATAATACTATAATTTTTTTATCAATTATAATAAATTAATAGAATAATATTATATATTCTCTAGCTATTTTTTTCTCGTAATTTGTTAAAACGAAATAAATTTCATTTTCACAATAAAGATATCGACGAAATTCAATACTCAAACATCTATCGTTAAAAAAAAAATTACATTTTGTATTGGAAAATTTTTCGTAATAAAAGCAATATAAATTGATGACATATAAGTTTTTGCAATATATCCTGTTAGATCTGTTTCATTTTTCGTACTTCTTCGATACGTTCGAAGGAGCAAAATGGAGTTAGAAAATTCTGGAATATAAAATGGTATCATAGATCACGTTTGCATATGTAATAAATGTCACATATCAATAGTAATATTGTGCATATGAGAAGTGAAAATTGAAAAATTTTGTACACGTATTATGGATAAATACGTGAGATATCTAATTGTGAATTGCATGGCATTTCAAACATTTTAAGAATTATTGTGCTGTTAATTCCAATGCATTTTATATTTTATATATATTCGAAATCAATAATGTATGTGTATTAAACAAATATAAAATACAAAATATTAATTTTAGATAGAATTACAAATAAATAAAATTGAATGTATTAAAATTTCGATTCCAATTTGACGTAAGTTTGTAAATTAATAAAAAGTTATCGTTTGATATGGGATCATTTTTCTTTAATTCGATAAAATTTTTAAAATATTTAATTGAGTTTATAATTTTTTTTTAAGAAAAATTAAAATCACAAACATGGAAAAATTTCAAACAAATATAAATAGTTCAATCAAAAAAAAAAAAAGAAAAGAAGAAAAAGAGAATGAAGACGAAAAAAAACATAGAAATTGCATAAAACTGTTTGTATTGAATGTACACAATTTCCAATCGATTTCAAGTATGTTATCAATCAAAATGCGGTTTGGAGTCTCTATTTTTCGAAACTCGTTCTTTTTTTTTTCGAAATAAAAGAATAAAGAAACAGACTATTCAATTTCAAACACCATATATCAATGAAATTTTTTTCTTTCGTTTTGCAATACTTGAAGAACAAAAGATTTCAAACGAACAATAAAAAGACAAAAAAAACTTAATTGTGATCAAATCGAGTGACACAAATTGGATTGTCCTCGTTACGAATCCTTTTCACAAATATATTTCCAGACTCATTTTTAACTCTCATTAATAACAGAGGAATTCGCAAAAAAAAAAAAAAAGTATAATCGAAAGTAAAGTATTATCGAAAATGAAAGAAACGTTTTTTTTTTAATTTCAAAAAAATTTTGTTTTTAAATTTTTAATTTGGATTTTGCATTATATTAATTTCTGGATTAACGATAGTCTTGAGTACATTTATTTTTACTTTTTTCAGAATATGGTTTTTTTCAAATATATAAGAGTGATTTTTAAATATTATTAATTATCGTATCATATTATCATAGGTTCAGATGGCATTAAAATTTAATGCATAATACAAAAATAAATGTATTATAAAAATAATTGATACATTGTTCAAAATGGAAAATGAATTTTTCATATTGATGAGAAAATTTCCATATATTGGATTGATCTTTTTCATGAATTTAATTTTCTCTATGAAGTATCTCTTCAAAATGAAGATATTTATAGTTTACAGAAGAAATTCTCTTTGCTTGTAAGTTTTAATTTAAAATGATTAATTAAAAACTGTATATTCAGGTCAATTTAATAATTTCTTATTAAAATTTTAATTATATACATTATGTATATTTCTAATTATTTTATATTTTTTATAATATTATATATTTCATTTAATTTAATCTTTTTCTTAAACAATTTTTAATTTATATAAATATATAAATATTTTTTCTAATATACCTTTAAAGTTTAAAATTCGATCAAAATCGAGCTCAAAGAGATAACGAAATGATAGGAACAATGAAAGGAACAAATAAGTACAGTGTTTAAATTCAAAATGACAAACAATTCCAGATCAATTCTTCGATTTCAAGAACGATCCTCTTATAAGGATTCTCCTCTTCTTTATCTCAATTCTTATTGTTGTATCGTAAAAGCGTAATGTTCCTTCAGAGATGAGCCAGCAATTTGAACACATTTTTACTATGGCTCTGATACGAAAGATTGCAACGACGAAAGACATAATAGAAGTGAGAGAAGAACAAGTCGTAAAATAAATTCTAACGCTGGCTCTTGCTTGTTTGAGAAAGAAAAGTAATCAAAAAATTATCGAAATTATCGGATGATTCAATTAATTCCATTAACTATAAATTAACATCATTTATTAACCAACAATCCATATTGAAATGGAATCATTTCCATATTATAAATTTTTTTCTTCGACGTGAGATGTCGTTTTCGAATTTTCGATTCGATCGTTATAAATTTGTGAATAAATTTTCGAAGCAAAATTCTCCATTGTTGGAAAAAGAAGCCATAAAAGCGGAAGTAATGGAACGAAAATGGCGATTATCGGGTTGAATACCTAGTCTCAGAGGGGATAAATTTCCTAGTCGCAATGTGAAACATTTAATTGGCTTCTAATGAATTTCGATGCGAACTTAAGGAAAGGGAAGAAAAGAGCAATATCCGGCCGACTTTCGCGATTAATCAAGGAAGTTTATAAATGTTGAAAGGCTTTGATTATCCATTTCTTGATCTTGATTAATAATAGAAAAATGGATCTTGATTCATACGATGAAAAAGTTTGGAAATTTTATTGTGAAATTTCGAATAAAATTTTTATGGGAGTTGTAGAATATCTTTTTTCGAAGGAACGTATGAATAAATGTAAATCATTGAGTTAATCGAGATTATGAATTATTAATAATAGATTAATATTGCAATAGCAATAGTATTATAATTTATTCTAATAATTATAATTAATGTACAAAAACATTAATTTCAGATAGTGAGTATTATAATTCGTTTTTTTGTTTTCTTAATTTAATCTCTCTTTGAATCGCTGGAATATTTTTAAATCGAAGAAATAAGTAGAAATTTTCATCGAAACTTCGACATGTCGAGTGCAATCCCACGTGATAGCCTTTTATTTCAATTTTCATTCCCTTCAATGTATCGAAATTGAACCAGAATCTGTGAAAATGGACTTTCCTATCGAATACCTACTACATGCCAGATATTTATTTCAGTTGTATATTCTCCTAACATATATACATGTAATTTACATCTTAAATTAGATTTTTTATCGAGTGCTCGTTTTCATATTGCTTCATTATATCACAATCTTTTCTTTGTTTTTATTTAAATTTTTTTTTTATCTTTGCATAAGTGTATTATATTCTAATTTCATGAATTATTTTTTCCTTCATTTTCATTATATAATTTAGAAAATTTTTCATTATTCATTCACTCACATTTTGACTCTTTATAACATGTGACATGAAAATAATAATAATGTACAAAGTTCAACAAGACATAATCAGAATATTATGTTTGTCATTTTTAAATATGTACGTATAAAACATTTATACGTACTGTATTAGCTATGTATATATATATATATATTATTCAGTGTTAAAATATTTTTAAGATAATTTTTATTACTAATTTTTCTTTTTTTTTTTTTATATTCTTTCCATGAACTCATAAAATATTAATTCTTCCAGTTTTTATATTCAACCTTATCTTCGTAATCCCTTTGCTAAAACGTTTGTACAGAATTGTACAAAATTTTTTCACAGCGATTGTCTAATTGGAGATTGAAGTTTAATAAAACTGATCGCAATTACGCACCTGAGTACGAAGGCAAGTGGTACAAGTTTGAAAATCATGTTATGCTCTCGTGATCCTGTTCCTTTGCCGCACTGGTCTTAGCCATTTAAAGCTACGCTTCTTTTTTTTTTATTTATTCCACGTAAAAGGAAATCGTGATAGAAGAGGAATAAACTAGTATTACAGTTAATGTTTGCGATCACTTTTTTATTTCCTCTCTTTGTCATTCTCCTTCTTTACCACGCTAATCTTCTATGCTTTAATCCTTTCAATCCTTTTTCCCTTTCCTCTTTATCAGTCTCCCTCCAACTATTTCTTTCTATTTTATCTCTTTTTCTTCTTGTTTATCATAATTTGTATAAATTATACGAATAAGGATTAATGCGATTGGTTAAAAGTCAAAAATAAGTCAAAAATAGAGTTGAAGAGAGCTAATGAAATTGAAAATATTTATAAATATTTATAAATTTCTTTATTCTATTGGAACGATAATAAATAATAAATAGTTCAACGGTGATAACATGATACTACAAGTCACGTACATATATTATATATGTATATTTTAACTTTTGAAAATTAAGGAAAAATTACTGGTGCCACCTCTTCTAGAATTATATTCTCCCGTTACGAAATCGTATGTTTGGATCGAAATTTATGATTCGTATCGGGAGCATATAACGTGAAAGGAGGTGGCATTTTTCCTGGACTTTTTTGACGACTTAAAATTTCCAAGGATTCGCGTATTTTACGATTTTCTAAAATAACCGGAAAGGAGATGGCGCGCGAAAATTTTCCTAAAATTCTAGAGATTCAAAACATCCAATTTAGATAATTTTTTGTCGTCAAGAGAATGTAATTTGGGAAGAGATGACACTTGAAATATTTTCTTTAATCTTTAATAAG